GCTGGATTTTTTCCCTATAATATATCCAGTGTATTGTGATACCATCATGCCACTTACAGCATGAATTTCAGTACACTTGCAAACTTAACAGTTTTATAGTGCAATTACTGTGATGTATTTGGCAGACATATAGGCCTGCATTTCTTATTTGGGAAAAACTTCTAGAAGTTCATGAGTTAATCAGCAGAGACAAATCATGCTGACATTGAATGCATAAAGTTTGCTTTGTGTTTATGTATTGCTTCATAAAACTTGATCACACACTGGTACACTGAGAGTGGTCATGTTATAGCATCTCCTGCTTTCCCTGGTTATCTTCTGATTCTCTGAAATGCATGCATCATCCTGTATCAGCTAAAGTTTCAATTCAAATAAAAAGGGGGGTTGGTCTGTTGGTCTTCATTTTAGCCTAATATGTTGGTTTCTGTGAAGTATCTTCTGTATAAAGTAATGCTCAGTTTGAAAGTTGCAGAACTGGTCTCTAAACAGAAATTTACTGTAGTCACAGTATTTCTACATGGACTGTTTATTGACAGAATGTGCATCTATGGATTCTAACCGTGGACAACAAAATATAAGACATAAATGCTTTTTTGTAAAATACACTTTTTATTCTCTCTGTGAGTGCTGTCAGTATTGTTTAAAAATACTTGAGGCTCAAAATTTGTTTTAGAGGAAATACTCCTTTAAAAACGTAACTGAAAGAAAGTAAAGTTTGGCCCCTCAAGTTCAGTGTCAATATCCCCTCTGCTAGACTTATTTTGAAACTGGGGAGTTTTGGGCAATTTTGCAGTTGTTCTCAGATTACAACAAAATACAAACCAGACTCTAGAAATGTCTACATGTTATTGTTAGCCCGTGTGGCAGCTCTGGCCTCATAAAATAAATGCGAAACTGCAACTTTGCAGCAGGAAAGCTCTCAGAGCACTCAGATGTGAGATGGAATGGAGGTGGGAGGAACACTCTTTTCAGAGGTGGGCACAGGCCATGTAAACAGATGTGGCTGGGCTGAATGGGGAGCCTGAATGGAGGCATTGTTCCCTGCCTTCCCTCCATCCCTGCCTCCCTCCTTCCCAGCAGGGACCCGGCACAAGTCCCACTCCCAAGATGAGAGCTGAAGCTCTGCCTGTTGCAACCCAAGGGAACCCGAGTGCACCCAAGTTTTAGGTCTGTCAAATACCACACTCGCTCACCTCCCCAGAGCCATACCAGAGGCACTCCTGAGCAGTTTATAAGAGGCTTTTTTTTTTTTTTTTCCCCCAACAGCATGGCAGAGTTAATTTTAAACAGACGCTTTCAAAGTTTATCCAGTGTGACTTTTACATTTCATAAGTCATTGTAGTTTATTTTTGAAAGTTGTCTGTGACATATATACTGATATAAACAGTATCTTTAATGTATACATATATATATGATGCTGTTCAATAGCTTTACATTAAGTACATTCCAAGAAGGAAGAGTCAGAAGATACTACTGACATATTTTATGCAATTACATATGCTAAAGTAAAATCTTCTAAACTAAACTTCTAAGCTGATTGTAGTGACACAATTCAACAGTGTTGATAGAAGCTCGTCTTTTAACCCCCACGCTGCTGCTGAGTTTCTATATGCATGTTCATGGCTTTATTTCACTGGGAGCTGGTATTGTGGAATGCTTGCAAAGGTCACATATACGAGCATTTGGAAGCTTGCCCAGGTTGCTTTAAGTAACCCCAGGGACAGAGAGTTGTGTGATTTTGGAGGCCTTTGTAGGGAAGAAGCAGAAACAGTAACTTAATTCCAGTTTAAGGGTTTAACCAGACTTTGTTTCATGGAGATAAAACAGCACAATTGTCCCCAGTTATGTTCAGAAACTGAAGCTATTAATGAAATAAATGAAACTTATAAACTGAAGTTATTAATGAAATAAAGTTCAGTAACTTGCTATTCATTAAATACTGCTGTTCAGTAACTTGCTATTCATTAAATACATGTTAAATACTCCTGCTGCACAGGAGTGGTGGTTTTTCCTCCTGCCTTGTAGTGATAAAAGTTTGTAACCCATGTATTTCAGATTTGTAAATTCTATCATTGTGCAAACCGCGTGCGTGAAGGTCATGAATGCATTTTATAGGCATTCATTTATTTCTGTGAAATGAAGCATGCCAAACATCACCAGAACAGAAAATGAGAAAGTGAAACAGAAGAAAGAGGGTAAAGGAATAAGAAAGAGGGTAAAGAATATATATTTTGTAAGTGCCAGTTTGCATTTCTTTCATACTCAAAAATGAGGTGTAATTCCTTGGTAACAGCTCAAAGGGCACACATAGTCATAGGTCTAGTTAATTTTCTGACCCCAGAGCAATTTTTTTTGTATTAGCAGTGGCTTGAGGAAGCAAAATGACCCCAACAGCATGCCTTAAACAGTATTTCAGGGTCACCCTGCCAGCATTCAATTTGCAGTCCTGCTGTAAATCTGCCACCATAGGCAATGTACAGGAGTGTGTTCAATCCCTTTTTTGGCGGGGATAAGGCTCGATTGTCTATTTTTTGGCACGCTATTAAAGTCTAGTTTGTTGTGGCTATTTTTTCTTCCAGTACTATGATTTTGTCTCAAAAATAGTGATAGGGAGTAAATAAGGTGGCCTGATTTAATTTCTTGTTCTGCCACACACGCTGACTTTGTGTCCCCTGTCGTTAATAGATCTAATAGGATTTTGGCACGAAACCAAAGAAGGGGAGGGTGGAAGGGATGAGCTGCAGAGAGTGCTGGTGCCTTTCTCAACCCAAAAGCAATGTCAGGCCTATCATCCTTCTCTTTAGTCCTCCCTGACAGAGCTAGAGGCATTTCTCTATACATGAGCGTGTCTCATGCATTCATGAGGCTTTTTGACACCGCAGCCTCTTTTGTTAGGAGATAGATCAGAGCTCTGCCCTTCTCCCAGCTGCCATATGGTGCAGTGGGAAGGGGCTTTCAAAGGCAGAGCAGGGCCCAGGAGCTGAGGCAGGGAGAAGAAAGCGATGGAACAGCAGCAGATGAGATTGATTTATTTTCACAGTGAAGGAGGCGAGTTACTATGACTGGTGGAGAGAGAGAGAGAGAGAGGGGAGGGGGGTGCCTTGGAATAGAAAACTCTGTCTCCAGAGGAGGTGAACAGGCTGTTGGGATGACAGCCACGTCGTGCTTGTTCTCCAGGCACGGAGCTTGAAAATAAGCACAGGCATTTTTGTTATCTTAGTAATGCTGGCTGAGAAAAGCTGAGAAAGTCTTATAGCCCCTTGCCTCAGCACGGGATCTCAGCTGCCTCAGCCCAGCTCAGATTTTACATTTCTCTGAGAGTGAAATCCTTCTGCCCTACCATGTGTGTGTAACCATCAAGCTTTAGTCTGACAACGTTAGAAGATTTAAAAAAAAAATATTTGTCTTCACTGTGGTTTGGAAAAGGATTGTTTTAAAGGAAAACATCAGATGATAAATTCTTCTCTCTGTTCACTGAGTGCAAATGCACTAAAATCAACTGAGTTTTTCAGATTTATAAGTCATTACCTTGTTTTACCAAGATGACTTCCTCCATTAAAGAAGAATAATTAACTGACTCGAATTTACAATGTGCTATTTTTCCTGTCTTTTACTTGATTCAGCTTCAGAAGGAAGTCTGTTTCACACCTGCCTGCAGCCATTTTGACTTCCAGATTTGCTGACCAAATATTTCAGCTTAAAACAGAAAAAAATTGTGTGTGTGTATCTTAATCAAAAGTATTTCTTATTGAGATTTCTTAAATTGTGTGGCAAATTGGACTTTGATCTTGATGTCAGTATACATCAGAAAAATACATATAAGGACACACTTCTCAAAATTTAGGAAAAAATCTGATAAAACTGATTGGAATTGCAGTTTTCATTCCCAGAAGAATTATTAAATTTGTGTAATTATTTTAATATTCTTGTGGGACTGAACTAAATTATGCAGAATGCACAGGAAGGGAATCAACTATATTACTTGGAAATTTTGAAATGTTTTGTTCTAAATACATTTAAGTTCATTTTGTGCCTTCTGAACTGCTTCAAGACAGTTGTGGAAATTACAATTCAAGAGACATGTGAGAGGAGTGGGAAGATCAAAGATTGAGACCATTGCCACAGGAAGGGAGGATACATGGGTGGAAGAGGCAATGAGAGGGATGTGGTACAAGTTTAAAAAATCGTGCTTGGCACAGTAGCTAGGGAACCATTATTCACTATTCCTCAAGTAAATGACTGGAAGACACCCAACCCCAATTTCAAATAAAAATTTTGAAATGAATCAAGTAAAGTCTTTCATGTCACTATGCATGATTCAATTGAAGCTTTGATTGTTACTGTAAATTCTGAAGGGCAAAAGTATAGATGGGTTTAAACAGATTCATTGGAAGAATAATTGTTGATATTACAGTACTTCAGATGCAAAGTGTCACTTGGGAAGTCTTATAAATAGTGCATTTTGGGGAGCTGGGGCAACATGTCAGAAGAGGCAATTAATTTCTATTTCTCTTATATAATTTTGCCTCTTCTACAAATGCCCAAATGTATATGAAGTTAACATTTTTTCTGGCCCAGTATAATTTCTTTTTTCTTCTTATAAAATATTTCTCCTGTAAGCTGGACTCTCTTATTACTCTGTTTATCCAGTTGGGTGCCATTCATATGTTTAATTCTGTAGTTCACTTTTGAGGTTTAACTGAAGGGAAGATATCGAAGCATTTGGGAGGAGTATCAGACAAGGAAAGCTGTCTCAAAGGGGAATACTCCAGTCCACATCCCATGAGACAATAAGGGAAACTCAAGTGCTTCCTGAAAGTGCCTCTAAACAAAATACTACTTTTCTAAAAAATTAACTGCTTGACTTGGATTTGACATAAAATTACGTTTAAAACTGCTTTTTTTTTTAAATTAAATTACAGATTTTTTTTTTTAACAGATAAATATCTTATACTAAGGTTGGTGTTTCCATTTCCCCAAACATTTCTTGACTATTGCAGACGGCAACAGAGCTGTTGGGACAGATCACACAAGTCCACTGGAACACTGTAACACTTGGTGAAGAGAAACAGGATTGTCCTTTCACACTATTGCCTGGCCAGAGGAGGTGGAGAAATAAATGCCAGCCTGAATTGCATTTGCTTAGATTCAGCAATGCCTTGGAATGAGAGTCAGCAAAGCTGGTTTTAAGTTAATGATGGAGCTACACGCAGCCCTCATGGAGAACATGTGCAACCCATCACATTCCCCTTTGATGCACATGTCAGCCCTTGAGAAAAGTAGAATGAGATGAATAAAACCACTTCACCAAGATTATTCCTGAGAATTTCTAAATGAGCCATCCAAGTTTCATGTCTTTCATAATTTTAAATTATCTATATAATTGTGCTGTTCCTTCTGCAAATAAAAACATATGCAAATGAATGAGGGAAAGGAAAATAATGTTTTTGTGAGCAAGTGATGGTCACAAAAGAATTATTGTGTTACTTGTTATTGCAGTTTTTTCTGTCAAGTGAAAAGACACTGCCATTGCTAATCATCTTAAAAAATACTGCTGCTTTTTGAAAAATGAAAAGCAGCATTTGAGCTAAATTCTAACTCTGCATGGTAAGTCACTGTTAGTCACAAACACATTTATTCACTATTCATCTTCTCTAGCTAATTTTGCAGTAGGAAGAGAAAGATAATTTTATACAAAAGAACAGAGAGGTAAGTAATTTTTTTCCTTATTTTATGACTATCATTGTCATTGTTTTGATTAATATTTTCACTTAAGAAATGAAGAGATGCTCTGCTGGTTGAGGCTGGTGGCCTGGCTTCCAGGAGTGCTACAGGGAAGGACACGTGAGCCTTTGTACTTCCAGCTTCAGTCCCCTCAGTCCCTGCACTTCCAGAATTGTGGAACTATCTGGTTTAGGATTAGGCAGGCACGTACCCCTTTTTAATCTATTTGATGATCTTTTGATCATAAATTTGTCTAATCCTTAACCTCCAGGCAGGAAATGGAAAATATAAATAACTAATGTGAAAGAGTTAATTCTTATAACGTTTAAATCAATGTTTTACAATGCAAAGGAAATTGTTCATTAAAACACACCATTTAATATGTTTTATGGGATCAGAGAATTTGACCAAATAGCTCTTGGTTTCCACGTGAGATTTAAACCAACTAGCATAATTTGTGATATTCAAATAGACAGACTTACAACTTGTTTTAAGATATAACATGTATAGCTAGGAGTTTAATTGTCTCAAGAATGCCAAGTACAATAAATCCAAAAATGAAGTGTTCATAAGTTTAACTGAGGAGAACTGAAGCACTTAACACCTTGCCATATTCTAAGTAAACTTCTTATGCACTATCATATGGTCATGACACACAAATGAAGAGAAATGTTCTTAACAAGGTCAAGCAAATTATTGAAGAGTTTGATTTTCATAAGGACTCAGTCTCAAGTAAAGATTAGAAGAATAAATACAAATTGCAATTCCTTTAGACTGATGGCTTTGTTCCTAAAATTAGTCTCCGTGTATTACATTTGGGCTACCTGGTAAAACTTCCTCATTCTTACAGTGAGAATAGGAGTTAGAATCCTGGTGCTTCAAGGGTAGGTAAAGCATGTTAATTCATGAAATGTTTCAGCAGCCTTATAATATTCCTGGTGTGCCTTGCTTGTGAAACTGTATTGCAAACTGACAGTAATTGTATTGCATGGTTTTTAAAAGCTGCCCAGTTTTTTAAAAAGGGATGCTAAAGCATCAAAGATATCTTCCTTCAGGTACCACAGCTACAGAGAATCCTAAGGCCATGTGATCCAGACTATGACATTTATCTTGATTTTCACTGAATCCAGAGTTTTAGAAAATCATTTGACAGGACATTAGACAAGAATTGCTCTACTCAGGCATCTCAGTGCATGATTCTGAGTAGCACAGAAGTGTCACACCGCATTTGATTTCTGTTGCTGTTATTCATGTATGGTTTTGACAATGAAAGCATTATTATATCAGATTTATTCAAGTATCCTAATTAGGCATCTCATCACTTTACAAAAATGATGTCCTGTCAAAACCAGCAATGAGAGCAGGAAGTATGGGATATCTGTAGAAAGAGGGGCATATTTTATATTTAAACATAATGTGATGTACTTAGCGCCTGTGGTACATCTTGTTTTGCATTTTTTCAGAGAAGTTAACTGAGAGCACTCATTGTGTCTTGAGAGCCTTGCAGCCTCCAGGTAGGTCATTGCTACTGTTTGGAACTGGAATTGCTCCTGAGTCTTGCCTGGCATAAGAGGATTTGGGGAGAAAGGTTTCTCATTGATGATACTCAGAGAAAACAACTGCTCAGTAAGGATTAGGCAGCTTCTATTTTAAGAGAGAAACCTTTACAAGCTATGGCTAACAGTACTGAAAACTTACATTTGGAGATGCCTACACAACAAGGTTGCAAGTTCTTTTCTACATTGAATGGAAGATTTTTTTGGAACACTTAATGTATCACCTATTGCTACAAGTCATTCTCATTTTAGCAGCATTAATTTAGCAAGACTGAAGTGAAGAGCTCAGATACTACATAGCTAAACTATTGCAGTATCCCACAACTTGACACTAGCTAATCCTGTGCTGTTGAGGGAAAGATTCTTTTCATTTTGTACCCAAAGTTTCCAACAGCAAGATGACTCCAGCTTACAGGCATGGCAGACAATGCCTGAGCCAGCATTTCTGTTTCTACTCAGCCTTTACAAGCATCATTTCTGTTAAGAAATGATGCCTGTAAAGGCTGAGTAGAACTCTACTCTCCAAATAATAAAAAAACTGCTTTAATTTTAAATATGATAATTTTTGATAGCGATTAAATAGATCGGTAGAATACAAACAGAATGCTTAAAAGAATCGTAGGGATTCTTTAAGTCTATGTGGGAAATAAAACATTCTTGTGTAAAAATTCTTATTCCTGAGTTAAAGGCATTACCAAACCTGAGTAATATAGATTATACTTGGTACTGAAGCAGAAGAAATCGGTAGAAATTATGGTACTTGAAAATGGTTTAACATTCAGTGATTCTTAAAAACAAATTTTCTCTCTTTTTTTTCCTTTTTTTTAAGACACTATATAGAACCAGCCAATTCCTTTCACTGGAAACTCCTGGGTTCTCAGCAGCTTTTGTTGAAATCAGCCTCTTACATGACTTTACTAACTTAAGTTACAAAATTTTGCTATGTACAGACTTTCATAAGCATTGTAGTGTTGCAATTAATTAAAAAAAAAAAAAAAAAAAAAAGAGACAGTATAAGTGTCCTTCCATCTAAAAGTGTCCAGTGCTTTTACACACAAAATATCTTCAAAGAAACTGATACTGGTTTTGTCCATGGCAATGCACATGCTGAGATACGTGGTATCCTGAACTGTGTGGGCTGGGAAGAAAAAAATATGGAAGGATTACCTTTCATGCTTAATGCCCAGTGCGTTAAATAATTACTTTGTGTCCAGTTTCATTACTCATTCTGCTCACTGCATCACATTTCATAGATCTCTTATAAGCTGGAAGTTATAGTACTTTGGTTTGCTATCGAGGTTTAAACTTTCTGCCAGATGTTTTCTGCTACATGCTGGAAAAAACACCCAACCTCAAATGTGTCTTGTCATTTTGTCCCCAAGTTGAGCACAAGTCATTGGCACACATTCCTACAGCCTTGAGAGATGCTTTAGGTAATTCCTTAAACAAAACTTAAGCAGAGGCCATATTTCACATATAGCTGTAAAGTCAAACAAGTCCCCATTTCATGACCTAATACAGTGCAGTAAGTACATTCAGCCTCTGAACAGAAACACATTTCTTCTGCTATTTCAACCCTACAACACATTGAAGAATCCCTGTGGCCAATTAAAATGAGATGAAAAAATCCCATCTAATGAGAAGCAGGATAGTCTCTTTTATGGCATCACACGCCTTCTGATGTTAAAGCTAGATCATATAGCTCTTTTGTCACATAATAAGTAAGTAAACACTTACTCCTCTGAATCTCCCCTCTTCCTGTCCCTGCTCCTTCCTCTCTGACCCTCAGAGGACCTGTGTAAATAGTAAAAGAAAGGGAAAAAAGACGACTTGCATGTGCTAGGATTTAGCTTCTGGCAAGAGACATTATAAGGAATTCATTTCCTGGCACATAATTTACATGTCCAGTGCTCCCTCCCACTCCTTTTCTTTCTCCCACCCTTCCCCCCTTTCCCCTTCCAAGCTGTCTTCTCACTCTGCACTGCTTGCTGCAACTTCCTGCTGTATATTTTTTCTATTTTCATATCCATGGGAAAGGGATCTGCTCTAGCACAAGGCTGCTATCCTGCTTGTGCCCATGCTGGTCCTCACTGTCACTTTTAGCTTAGGCCACGGGTATTTGGACTCCATTAAGTGATGGTGAAACTATCCAGCAAATGACAGTCATTACATTTTAGCCAAGAAATTTCCTCTTTGAGGTTGCTTGCAAGCTCCAGACAAAACAATTTTCAATTTTAATCTAAATCATGGTTTAGGGTTTTATTTTTGGGGAAAAGAGTTAAGTCCCTCTTGCTCATTAAAGGGCTCTCTGTTGTGTATCTTTGATGCTGCTTTGGGCAGCTCTGTTGCTTTGATCCTCTTAGAAACAGGCTCATTACAGCATCCACCTCACTGAGTAACACTTCAAAGCTTTGCAAAGGACAAAGGGAAGAATTTAGAAACAGAGCCAAGTGGCTCTCAAGTATCTTGGACTAAATTAACTTTGTATTAAGTGTTACTGGCCCAGCTGCAATTTTGAGAGGAGGAAACAAAGCAGTAACTCTACGTGCTTCCTTCACGCATTTTATATCAATCTAACAAATATGCTTGAAATCTTCGAGGACTCTCTGCCACAGCATCTGCTAAACAAGCAGAGACCACAATTGTTGTATCAAAGTTAGAAGTTGCTCTGAAGATGTTAAAAAGCAGATTGATGTTGTCAATTTACTTGATTTATATTGTTCAGAATGATAGAGTGAATATTAATCAATCAATGTGATTAACAGGGGAAACAGGCAGTTCTCAAAATCCAGAACCTGCAGTTACCACATTCATCTTCAACACTTTCAGATCTATCCTTGCTGTAATGGTCATTCTCCAGCCTAAATTTATTACTTCTGACGTGTTTGATTTAGTACTTCAGTCAGGAAGTCATTACTGCTACAATATACTATTTTCATTCTGTGAAAATTTCATCTTTTCAGTATTTTCACTGTGTGTTTCCAGCACAAACTGCAGTGCAGTGCTATTAACACAAGCTTCTGCAGCAGTCTTGTC